TGTGTGTGTGTGTGTGTGTGTGTGTGTGTCTGTGTGTTATACAGAGTATGAAATTATTTAGGCAACTTTGTCACCGAGCACCGAGAGCAGCAGAACCTCCTCCTGATAATCATTACGTTTTCAGTTCAGTAACGTCAGGGAAAATGATCCAAACCATACAAGTAGCCCATCAATTTAAAGCCCAGACTCTGCTCTTTCCAACAATATGTCACAGCTCTACGAGTTCCTGGACACCCTTATTTCGTAGTCACATGACCAATTTAGTGGGAAAGATTTGTTCCTTGTAAGAAATTGTTTCAAATTGTGTGAAAATTACAGACTTCAGGCTATACATCATATTTTAAATTGTGTTGATAGATAAATAAATTACAGAACTTTATATTTAATGTTTGTCATATTTGAAGCGGAGAGGAGCATCAAGCAGACTGACCGGAGTAATCTCCAGTCAGTCTGCCTGCTGGCATTAATCGTATTAATCGTCAAGTGCCAGATAATAATTGATTAATGTTTTTCCTGATGATTAATTGCACACAATACAATTATGCCCAACCCTACTTTGGAGTGATTTTTTTTCCACTTGGCTGGACCTGTACGTCTCCTGTGTTAATGTTGGTACATGTACTATGCTAATTCTTTCCTGTGGAGATCATTAAGAGTCGTTGTCGGGTGAAAATTTTTTCGCGAACACTGTGTTGACTGTGAACCGGAAGTGGTCAGAGTGGCCCCGAGTGCTGGGCTGGATGTCCGTGGCATATAGGCTATTAAGACAGAGCTGGACCAAATGGATGGATTTACAGGCTCCATGTGGTGGAGGGAGTGTGGCCTCATTTTTATTATTGCATTTCTACAAAACACAACAGAGGATTGTGAGTATTTTGTGACTTAATTTCACCTGTTGGTGGTAGGTTTTGAACAGCTGCACTATTATGACGTGCCCACATCAAGGTGTCCTTCAGTTCTATGGAAAACTCCTTCCATGTAGAAGCAGTTCTGCAGCCATATGAAGAGGAGGACTGAGGAGTCCACAAGTCTTTCTGTAGAGCTTGTTTAAACCAGTATCTGTCTCTGAACACACTCCTCTGCCTGATGATGGTGCTATGCAGACTACGACAGGTGTTGTCCAGTTTCTCTAGGGTATTCTTTATCTGATCCATGGCCACCACAGAACCAGCCTCTCCACAAGTCTGTCTAGACTAGTCCTGTCTCTCTTCTTGATTCCACAGCTGCACCACAGACTGAGAAAACATCTGCAGTACGTTAAAGGGATCCAGGATTAGCTGTAACATTAGACTTTATTTAATAAACATATATTTTAACAGTAAAATAAAGACTGTAAAAATCTTGTAGGCTGTTTAGATTAGTAATTTTTTAAAAATATATTTT